ATAAGTATGTGGCATTGCGTTATTTCGTTCGTTAACACTGTAACTATACAATATACATGTATTATAATATAACAGTCTGTTGTTTTTCATGCTTGCCATCTACTTTTCCATTCTAGTGAATTCGAGTAATATAAATGAGTTCTGACGCGACGCGCGTATACGGTCAACCACCTCCCTATATAATATTCTATAATATGGATATCGAGGTTGTTTTCCTCGTGAATCGTGATACTTGATTTTATATGTAATAGATTCATATCGTAATATTATTACGTTGGCTTATTTCATTTTCTATAAATAGGCACCTTACCATATTATATTACTCACATTTTGAAATCGAGTATTATATAATATTTTGTTTTTGCACGTTATTTGCGATTTTTGTATGATATAATATGACATAAAACAATGTTCTTACACGTGATTCTTTTACCTTGATTTTGAAAATTATATAGTTTCTATTTCGTTATCATTATCGTTTTTCAAGTTTTACTTTTTTAAATGACAACATTCGTTTATAATTTAATTTACCCGCCTGTGGACTAATTAGTCGTCAACAAAATGTTCTGCAAATAAGAAGTATAAAATCAAAAATGTATGCACTGTCAAATTTTTAAGATATAAAATACATTTCGTTTGTTGTTATAACAATGTATTATGATGGCCTATGACGCTGATGTAGTAACAAATGTTTTCAAAAACACTTAAATTTACTGAGTTAATGACTGTATATAGTGATAAAAGAAATCACCTTGTGTGTAAGGACGATTGGACTGCAAATCCTCGACGCCCATGTGTTCAAAACTTGATGGTACGATACTTCAGATGCGTTGCATCGTTAATCACCATTTTTAGGGAGAGTGTAGGGAGTACATATACACATTAATATGTCACTCTGTTGGCACTCCCTTAGCCATGTATAGACGGCGGCGAGGTCAAGACCAATATTTCCACGTGTGGTTGGAGGGTGGATATTTACTAACCACATGTGAAACGTCAGTCGAAAAGCTAAAATATTGACACAAAAATACGTATACCTACTCTAATGCATAGAGGTACATAATACACACATATATATATATATATATTATACACATCAACTAAATCACAATAATTCATATTCTAAAGGGTTCTTTCTATAGTAGGTGGCTTCGTTGTGTACAGACTACAGAGCCGCAGCGTTGTTTTACTCATTATACACACAAAAGGCTTGGTTAGGTTCATTGTGTTTTGTTTTTTTTTTTTACCTAACGGCTTTATTCCGTTTACGTATATTTTTTTATGGATATCAAAGGACCGTTTGTAACAGTCTCGGTGTACAGATATCGAAGTGTATGGCGAGAGATTGCGGTAGTTTTGTTATTTTATTACAAAATATATCGTAGAAAAAAAATGGCGAAGTAGTCAGCTATATTATTATCGTCGTATATAATATAATAATGTATATAAATCAATAGAACAACATCACCGCCGTCAGATATAATATAATATATTATTACTATTTTTGTACGAATAATATCTGTATATAGATTTTATAATAATATATACTGTACTATATATATTAATACATACATTATATATATATATGTGGTCAACGAAAGATATTGTTTTCATTGAACATCATTTTGAACAACGGTTTTTTTACCAACTTCAGAGTGGCACAACGGTATGGTTTATAAAACGTTTAATATATTGCAACTCATCTCGACTAATTGAATGCACCGTCGTGATGGTAAACACGTTCCAAAGTTATATATATATAAATATATTATATGTGGTACCTATAAAGACGTGTTGTTGTTTACTGCGTTCAGCATAAAATATGCAAGTTGCACCTTTGCGCTAATTGCATGTCTCTCATTTCTCTCCTCTCACTCTCTGTCTCGGTGTATCGACATATTAATATCGTCTGCCGCGGTAAGTATATACCTACGCTGAGACCATCCATGTTATAAATATGTTTAATGTTTATTATTCGTACAATTCTGAACACATCTAATTCGCTTTGGACTTACACTACACGTCTGCACAAGTAGAGTAGGTATACGCTGTGGTCGAAGTGCTGTCAAAGTACGGGAGGGGCTCACTCAATTTATTTTACTAGGTAGTTATTTGCCATGCTCCCCCGCTATTATTTTGATAACAATTATATCCATCCCTGAAAGATTTTGAAAAAATTAATTGTCTTCATCATTTGAAGCTCATAATATAAGAGATGAATTTTAATTTCTAAAAAATATCTTTAAATAATCATTTTTTTAAAAAAAAATACTTCATTGTTGTTTACTAAAATGTTAAAATTTAACACCGAAAGTCAGTAGACCAACTAGCCACTCGCCACTGGGTAGCTAAAAATAAAATATCTAGTTACCATGGTATACAAATCAATCACTTATCACTAATCAGTAGGTAATTCACTAATCAGTAGGTAATTCACTAAGCAGTAGGTAATTCACTAATAACTGAGATAAACTGAGATAGAAAACAATAGGTATATTACTTACTATAATAACGAGCTTATAATTAAACCAAACAATTTAGGAATTATATTATAACTGCTCGTAGCAGGATTAGTACCACCCCCCTCATAAATTGATAGACTTAGGCCATTGATGGGTATATGGGCACGTCCATAACGCTAGATTTTTGAAAGGGCTGCAATCTAAGATACCATTAATAGAAAAGAATTCTGATTCAGACTATATATTGAAAATGTAGGAAGCGATTTAAAACCAAGATTGATGAAAAATAAGCACAATATATGAAAATGAAGTATTAGAATGACATAATATGTTATATTATGAAATAACTAAAAACTTACAATTTTCAAGAATTTTTGTCGAGACAATATTTTATTCCATCGTTCAGAAAAAATTAATGTGTATACAAGGTTACAGCTATTGGGCTCTGGTCCTTGCCGTAAGTCGGCGCTTTTTACCAAGAAGAGGCGGCGCTGCAGTGGGTATAATATAATAACATTTATATCGAAATAAACGATCACCACCTCCGGATTCGACAAACACAACCAACTTGTTGTGAAAAAAAAATGCTGTTTTCAGCACACTGCGAGATTTGTTTAATATAATATTATAAATTAATATTTATAAATAATATTATACTATAATATATACGTATTATAAAATTGCAGGGTGATCGTTTCATAAATCGACGTCTGCTTTCTGCACGATGTGACGCGAACACACAGAAATCGCCCACTTGCGGATAAGCAGAGTGTAGCCTACGGGTGTACAGTGTGCGGCCGTGCGGGCAGGCCAACCCCTTGCAGGTTTTCCAGTGTCGGTTAAATGAGATAACGGGAAAACATGTTGGGCCACCCTGTATAATATAATATTGTATGCACGTATCGGATCTCCGCGGGTCATTATCGCGAAGCGGTTTCACAGAGCGCAGATATTATACTTTGTACGCAGACAAACACACACACACATACACATATATATGGGCTCGAGGGATAGTCCATTATAAATCGTTCGGACGAGTGATGTAAAGTTTTACAAACCTTCTGCTGAGGTCATCGCTGACCGTTGAACCTGTAACAGCAGCAGCAGTATTGCTATTATATATATATACGTTGTATATATAATATTGTATATACATATAGCGAACGGGCGTTAATAATTTGTTTTTATTTTTTTTATTATTATTATTATTTTCCACACACATTTGCCAAGCCATTATAATCGCGATCAACACGATCTTGTAGCAGTGTCTATTATGAGTCTGTGTGTGTATGCAACACGTGTATAAATGCGTGCCCGTCCTACGAGATCGATGTGAGCATGCGTGTGCGTGTGCGTGCGCAAGCGGTGCGTGCGTGCGTGCGTGAGTGTGTGTTTACTTCCAACCACATTATATATTTGTGTGTTTTCCGAAGCCACTTCGAGGTGAATGTCCTAGTCCAGTGTGTGGCATTAACCTCCTGGCGGCATATAATTCCCTGCTTCTCCTCCTCTCCATCGACAGTCCTATCGTCCTTATATTTTTATACGCACATTCGTCCTGCGCTCACTGCCACTACCACCACCACCAATACAACTACTACTACTAATACTATTACAACAACTATACTACTATTACTACTACTACAGTAACTCTATACTATAATAATGATAATAAGACGAGTTTATATAAACAAATAAATCTGGCCGATGAAAAAAACACGACAACGAAACTTGCTAGGAACATATTATATAGTGCTGGTGGCACTATACATATATATATATATATAGATATATTACTAATATAGCATATAGGTACTGCGCATTAAAGAAATAGTGTGAAGTTTAGATGAATAATTCAGCATCACAGTGTACCGCTATACATAGCAGTCGTAAACCGTTTAATTAATTGCTTATAAAATTATAATGGTTTATTTGGGTTCTCATTAAATAAACACACTACGTTTCGTTTTAATAATATAACATAATGTAACGACTGCTGAAATACTCCCTCACAATTTGAAATCCTATAAAAGGAATCGACGATGGTCATTTTGATGGACGATGGTATATATTATTATACGTATTATCCATGGTATAATTAATAAATAATTTTACGACGTGTTTATTTATCTCCGTAGTCCGTATTACCCATAGTAAGTTATTAGGTATACAGTTTTATATTATATTGTATACATATATGTCTAATATATATATGTGTATTACAAACTGTACTTACATTATATTATACAAATTGTTAAACATCATTGTCCGTCGTATAATAACGACATGTCCTAGCTTGTGCGTGCACGCACCGCAAATCGCAGTGCGGCGAACGCGTTTGCTATAAACATTCAGAAAAATATAGATCGGACTGTGCCGACGCATGCGTTGAATTCACGATATCGCACCGCAGTGGCAGGTTTGAAATACAAAATAGTTTGTTTTTCACCGCATACGATATGTGTCGTCTCAACCAAGAGTAGATTTGTTTTGATTACTTAATTTGTTTTTCATTAATTAATCACATTTTTTATGGCCATGCCGTACACAGATGTTGAAAAAACAGAAATGTTGATTTCTGAAATCAAAAAACGCACTGTTTTGTGGAACAACAAAAATAAGAAATATAGAGATAGGCTCATAACAGGCAAGGCATGGGCAGAAGTGTCAAAAGTCACAGGAATAACTGGTAAGTATGTAAATATAATTGAACTTTTTTCAAACTTAATTTGGTGTTAATTGTTATTATAGCATTGTACTAATACCATAGCCTATAAAATATATATTACCTATGTATAAAGTGTTTATAATACAATTTTGTCAATGGAAAAAAAAAAATGAATAGTAATCAGTGTTGGTATTTCTTTGTTATAAAATAAAAATAGTTTGAGATTATATTTTGTTATGCCTAAAATATTGTACAAATGTATTCCTTATCTCTAAGACGGATTGAGATGTTCTATTAGTAAATCTGCTGCCTCTAATACTATCCAAATAATTTGTACTTAATATTTCATTTTCAATTTCTATAGTTTTTAAATCCACCTGATTTTTTTCAAGATCAATAATCACATTATGCAAAATACAAATAGCTTTGACGATATAGTCAGCATTTTCGATTTTCGTTTCAATTGATTTTGCAGAATACCAAATTTTGATGCCGCTATGCCAAATGCGCATTCAACGGTTATTCTAGATCTGGACAACCTATAATTATAATACGAATTGTTCTCGTCACCTAATTGTTTTTATCGGAAATGATCTTAACAAATGTTCTCTCAAAGGAAAAACTTCATCACCTATAAATACAAACGGTGCCATATTTGTTGTATTCGGAAGTAATTTCGTGTTAGGCACTTTTAATGTACCTTTTTCAATATGATGGTATATTTTTGAATTATGTAAAACACCACCATCACTATCCTTACCATATGATCCAATATCAAAGAACATAAATCGGTAGTTGGCATCAACAATAGCCAATAGAACGATTGGAAAAACATTTTTGTAGTTATAATACATACTGCAAGAGTTTTTTGGACATTTTACTCGTATATGCTTTCCATCAATGCTGCCTATACAACTTGGAAAGTTCCACTTATTGCAAAATGCATCTGCAGTATTTTCAAAATCTGTAATAGATGGTCTTCGCATATGTACGTCACGTAGTGTAGTCCAATTTGCCTAACAAACTTCAATAACAATATAACAATATAACACTGGTTTTTGACACTCTGAAACGCATAGCAATTTGTCTGAACGCAATTCCAGTGGCTAGATATCTATGAAATAAAATATTTAACTATATGATTAAAGTTTCTTACGATTATATTTTCGTAATATATACATAAATGTGGTTATAAAATTTAATAATATTTTACTTTATTTATATTTATTATTAAAATTAAAAAATAATATATATTATGTTGAACGACAACACAAAATATTTCGATAGCATGAATTTGCATTTAATTTAAGTTTTTTTTCCTGCTTATTCCACGTATTTAAAAAAAAAAATGTAATTGTTACTCTTTTTAGTTATTATACAGTTATTTGTTTTTCAATCAAATAAAAAGATAAACAATGTCCAAAAGTCACTAGTTACTATACTATATGTTAATTTATATAGGCAATGAAGCAAAAAAAAGATGGAGAAACTTAAGAGATCACTACAAAAAAGAACTTAAAAAAGTAAAAAAACCAAAATCAGGATCGTCACAAGATGGCCTAGAAAAATATCACGGGAAATGGTCGTATTTTGTGTCCATGCAATTTTTGAAAGACGTCGAGACTCCTAGAAATACCTCGGGTACATATTCCGAAGATTGTGACGAGGATACTGAGTTAGGACATTCAGACGAACAAAAATCAGATTCAAACGAAGATCAAGAAAATGAGGACAATCTCGACAAGGAAACGACACATAGTTTTGACGTTATGGATCCATTATTACCTCAGACTGAAGCACAGACTAACTTAACACAATCGGGAAGAAATTCGCCATCAAAGAATGCAGTAAAAGATGATGATGACATGCATTTTTTAAAATCCATTCACCCTTATTTCGGTAACATGACTCCACTACAAAAATTGAGATTAAGGACACAAATCCAAGAAGTGATTATGAGAGAATTATCTACACCATCATCTCAACGACTCAACCTATGAATAACAATTTAACTTATCCTTATCAAACATTTCCAATACATGTGCAACCTCTACAATCATCACAACCTATGCCATTCCAACCTATTCATCATTCCTATGCAGTCTTTAGCGACCAAACAGACTTTATCATTACAATCAGATCATCCACCAAATTATAATTAATTAGTTATAAATTAATTAATATGGTAATTTTATTAATATGTTTTAAATACTTTTTATTTACAAACCTAAATTATTACTTAATGCTAAGGAGTTTCACAAACGGTATTAATATTTTTTTATATTATTATTTATTAGATACGTACCTACATTAATTATTATTTTTTATTTTTTAATACATAGGTGGGCTACCTATATCTGTTGAGGTCTTAAACTATTTAAAAGTAACATATTTTTTATTTTATATTATCAAATTATATCATATTTTATAACTACCTAGGTAGGTAGATTTTTTTATTTTGTCTTTTATGAAAGCAGATTATTAATATTATTTTAATGTTTTCAATAAAAATAATCATTTTCAAGATACCATTGTATGATATGTGTATATTTATGAAGGCATATGCAATTTAAAAAAGCGGGTTAGTCACTCGGTTATATAGTCGGTTATAAGTGGTTCACTGTAATAAATGGTATTAAATTTGAATTTAATGATATAATATCAATGTACTTAAAAAACGATTCATAGCTGACTATCGGAAACGGTTTGTCAGCCAAGGTAGTTAATTGATTTTACAATGATGTGAGTTTTTTTTTAAATTTATTTTTTTTGTTTCTGTCATCACCTTTTAGGACAGGAAAAATGCTTAGATTTTCTCCAACATTATCTTTTCTGATAGGAAATTGAATTTAATTGGTACTTTAGGGGTCAAAAGGGTAATTTCCCAGTAGTTTTCAAAAGCGCAGTGAAAAACAAAAGAAAAATTAAGGAAATACGAGAATTTTTAAGCAAAATTTGATTTTTGGTGTGACTTTAAAACAAATGACCGTAGATCAGTGGTTCCCAACCTATGGTCCGCGGACCACCGGTGGTCCGCGAGACATCGTGAAGTGGTCCGCGAGCCATACCTACAAAATTTAAAAATATTTCATTTTTCCTTTGGGGCATGATACAAAGTTTGTAACTGTTTTTGCTGTTTTTGCTTTTTATATTATATACTATATAACGTCTAATTCGTAAAAGCGAGGCAGTCAAAATATTATGTACCGACAATCGTTATCATCGATTCCACGGCGTGGCGCGTGTATATTACGTCGTTTATTTATAAATTTATATTACATTATGTCCCGTATGTATTATTTCAACCGATAATCTAATCTTGTTTGTACAGCAAGATTAGATTATTGGTAGAATACAACAAGCTATATGTACAAAGTTTAATATTAATTATTGTTAGTTGCTCTGTATTCGTACTCCGTAGTCGACGTCTGTGTTTCTGCCTCTTTTTGATAGTTCGTGTGTTAATATTAAAATTAAATAAAATGGCTCCGAAAAGAAAATATGACGACTCCTATATCAAATTTGGATTTATTGCAATCGAAACTAACCATGAAACTCGACCACAGTGTGTTATATGTTCCACTGTTCTTAGTAATGATGCGTTGAAACCCGCTAAATTAGAACGGCATTTAAAAACTGTCCATCCTAAATTGAGTGATCGACCACCAGCATTTTTCATGGGTAAGTCAGAAAATTTGAAAAAAATGAAACTTGGAACAAGTGGTTCAAGATTCGAGTTAAATGAAAAAGTGCTATCTGCGTCATTTAAAATTGCACAATTAATCGCAAAATCAAAAAAACCACACACTATCGGTGAAAAGTTATTGAAACCTTGTTTACTAAATGCTGTTGAAGAAGTTTTAGGTGAGGAAGCTAAAAATAAAATACAAGAAATTCCATTATCGAATAACACCGTGAAAGCTCGCATTGACAAAATATCTTTCGATATTGAAGAACAATTATTGGTAAAAATAAAAAACTCACCTTTTTACGCATTGCAGTGTGATGAAAGTACTGACGTTTCGCAATGTTGTCAGTTACTGGTTTTTGTTAGATTTTTGGACGATGACAACACAATAAAAGAAGAGCTTTTGTTACTGCAGGAATTGGTTACTACGTCGAAAGGAAGTGATGTAATGAAGATAATTAATGAATATTTTGAAAAGCACGACATTATGTGGGAAAAGCTTGCAGGTTTTTGTACGGATGGAGCTCCAGCTATGCTAGGATCACGTTCGGGCCTAGCAACGTTGGTTAAAGAAAAAAACTGTTCAGCATTGACAACGCATTGTGTAATTCATCGACAAGCATTAGCTTCAAAAACATTACCTGAAGAACTCATATATACTTTAAAACAGTCCGTAAAAATGGTGAACGCTATCAAAAGTAGTGCACTAAATACTCGCATTTTTAAAAAAATATGCTTGGACTTGGATTCTGAATATGAAACTTTGCTTTTTCATACCGAAGTCCGATGGCTTTCGAAAGGAAACATGTTGGCACGATTATTTTCACTTAAGGAGGAGGTGACAGTGTTTTTAACTGAGAAAAAAATGATCGATTTATTGAAATGTGTTTGTGATCATAAGTTCGAAATGCACTTGGCTTATCTTGTCGATATCTTTGAGCATTTAAACAAGCTTAATTTACAATTACAAGGCTCCGGAAATCATAAATTGGAAGGCGCTGCAAATATATTTATATTTGAAGATAAACTTCGCGCATTTATTTGTAAAATTAATTTATGGATAAGTAAAGTTGAGATGAATAACTACTCAACGTTTCAAACACTAAAAAGCATCGTCGACAACGAAAAATATGCTGACTTCGTGCCTGAGGTCCATCAAAATGTTTTACACCATCTGCATAAACTTAAAGATGAATTTAACCGGTATTTCCCAGAATATAATGGTTATGAAACGAAAGGTGTCCGAAGTATGATTCGAAACCCTTTTATTGTCAAAGTTGATGAGGTGGATGATGATATCCAGGAAGATTTGATAGAGTTACAAAATGATCGAAACTGTAAGGATACGTTTGAATCTTCCATGAATATCGAAGAGTTTTGGTGTAAAAAAGCAATTACGTATCCTAAGCTTCGAAAAATCGCACTAAGATATTTAGTCATGTTTTCAACAACTTATATGTGCGAACAAGGATTTTCCGCACTGCTCTACATTAAAAACAAACAAAGAAATCGGCTGGACGCCACTAAAGACATGCGTGTAGCTTTGAGCAATATTACCCCAAGAATATCTTTGTTAGTAAAGGAAATGCAAGCGCAAAAATCACATTAACTTGTTTTTATAATTAAATTTGCCTTTTATAAAAATAATAGTATGATACCCATTTTTTTTATTATAGTAATTTGTGTTGAATTGTTAATAAATGTAAAATTTTTACCAAATTAAATTATTTTGTATAGTAAAGTAGTAGAATTATAATATATAATAGTATAGTAATAAAAAGTAAAGTAAAATGATAAAAATTTAAATTTTTTGTATTCTTGTAAAAAAAAAAAAGGTCTTCCTAGTTTACGTAAAAATTGAGGTGGTCCGCGACCTATAAAATATTGTGGAAGTGGTCCGTGGTGGTAAAAAGGTTGGGAACCACTGCCGTAGATACATGAAATTTTCACTGATTGTTTATATTTGCATTTTCTATACACGATAACATTTTCAAAATATTTTGATTTATTTTGAACTGTTTATTGACATTTTCATTTTCAATTTTTTTTTAGTTTTTTTTCTAAAAATATCAACAAAATTTTATTTGTTAGTTAAAAAAGCTTGACAATTTAATACAAGGCTCCAGGTATATTTTTTCAAAGGCAGATGAAAAATATTAAAAATCTTTAGCCACGGTTTTTTTTATAAGCATTTAATGTTCAAAAACTGACAAAATATGGAAAAATCACGAAAATTAGAAAATTATTTTGAGTTAAGAATTCATAAAACTTTTTCTTTTTAAATCTAAGTTTTTAAAATGTAATACAAGATTCCTTATAAGATTATTTAACTTTATCAAAAAAAAATGTCAATAAGAAAGTCAAATTAAATTTTTATGAGCGTTTGAAATTCAAATTTTTACAACATAGGATATTCACTCGATTTCTCATGTAGTGGTTTCTTTATTTTGTTGTAATTCAAAAACGAATAACTGTAGATACATGAAAATTTCACTGAATATTTATATTAGCATTTCCTATACACCATACAATTTTGACTCTTTTTGAGCCATTTACGGACATTTTCAGTTTTCAATTTTTTTAGTTTTTTTTTTTCTATACATATCAATAAAGTTTTATCTGTTGGGCCAAAAAATGTAAAAATTTAATACAAGGCTCCTGACATATTTTTATTTGAAAAATATTAAAAATACATAGGCGCAATTTTTTTTATAAGCATTTAAAGATCGAATTTTGACAAAATTTATCAAATTCAAAATTGAATAATTATTTTTTAGTTAAACATTTATAAAATGTTCAACTTTTATATCTAAGGAATGAAAATTTAAAACAAGATTTCACGTAAGTACTTAATTCTGTTACCAAAAAATCTAAAAAAATACATAAGCACAGTTTATTTTTATAGTCATTTTAAGTTCAACTTTGGACAAAATTACATAAAAAAAAACCTAGAATAACTATTTTAGTTATTTTGTTGTGATTGTGTAATATTATTCGTGGGTACTTGAAACTTCTAAAGTACACTATTATATATCTATGGAGTATGGACTATGATAGTATCAGGGTTTGTTGTTGACGTATAACGCATTATAAGTACCTAATGGATATTGTGATATGATTAATTTGGAATTTATTATAGGTACCTATTATAGGTCATTTTTTTAATACCATATAGATATGGATATAATATGTCTTATACCATCTCCGCTCAGAATCGTTTTTCTTATACGATGATATTATGTCATTGAATTCAAATTTAATACCATCCATTATACAGTTACCCACTTGTAACCTACTGTACAGCAGAGCACCTTTTTTTATTAGAGTTACACCAAAAACTAAAATCGACTAAAATTAATCTCTATAGAAGTATACTTAATCTGATTATCATAATCATGAGAATATTCATAATTTGATATATGTTGCCTATGTTATATTTACCTAATAGTAATCAACAGTCGTTCTTCAACAGAGATTGGATCTTGGAAATGTGTGTACTCTCTTTGACAAAGTGGTGTTATATGTTGTGCAATTTAGTTAAATGTGTCTGTAGTCATTCTAGTGTATGCACGAAACATTATTTTATTTATTCGTAATTTTGGATACAGTTGATGGAATTCTCCAAATATAAATCGATCTTTATAAATCACATTTGGAGAAGATCTCTTGGACTTTTTCCTCATTTTAAGTAATTTATACTTCAGATAAATATTTTCTATTAAGAGTAAGCTTCGTTGATCTTGAATTAACGACATAATAGTAAATTAGAGTTATTTTCACAAACAGAAATCTGAATATTAATGAACTTGACTGATAACACTATACATACATCTTCCCAGCACGATATTGTAGTTGTAACTATGTACAAATCGTATGCATTTTCTCGTGTATTTGAACGAGTCTATTTTGCCATGCTTGCGGGAACTAGAATTCAGTGCGGTGCAGTCAAATATCGCACCGTCTACTCGCATTGCGTGCGCTCACCAGCTAGGACATAGAGTTATAAACGATCGATACTACTCGATTTCAAACGAATTGATGCAGCTGCGTAACAGTAGATTTCATTTTGTACTTTCGTATACAATATTTAACGGAATATCTGCAGGGTATCACAATCAAAATCTGTACAAAAATTAGAAATAATTTATGTTTCTCGGTTCGATATGATATTAATATTTTTCCGAACTATCAATTCGATCTATAAATAAGTACGCCGATTTTCAGTTTAATCGAATTTGCCCATAATATTTCAAATCGGCATCAAAACACTGACGTTTTGTTTTTCTTTGTGCAAAACAATACATGGGGTCAACGTAATCACCATGACGTGCTATCGAAGAAAATACCTACGTGACAAGTGTGCTATATTATGACGATCGGAACGTGTATGATTGTACTAACGATGATAATTTATTAATTATTAGTAATCTTCGAAAAACAATAGTGGAGTGTTAATATAGGACGTTATAAAACTAAATACCATAATAACAACAAACAATATAATAGGTCATTAATTTTTTTTTTTCATTAATGAGATTTTAACATTAAATTATAATAAAATAACAGGTCATCTATGCGGACATCTGAAGAAGAAACTCGACTTCAATACAAGTGAAAATTCGAGTACAAAACAAGTATAAAAATCTAACATATTATATTGCGGCCCGTGGGTGATGATCGACCGGTGATCGTGGAATTACATTTTTTTTTCAACACAACTATTATGATACGGAGGGCTACCCCTCGCATTAATCAACTTCATGCATTTTTTTTTTAACAGCTATATGTATATTCATTTTTTATTTTATTTAATGTTACTATATATAGATACAATGAAATAAACTCCAAGGTCCCCTCACAAAGGGTGGGGGCCATCTACTCATCGCCCCCTCAATTACGTCACAGCTGTTTTACGAGACACAACACTCATCATCAGTCATCACGTTACCTCATCTCCAGGGTGTAAAACTTTCTAAACTTCAAAGCAGACACAAAATAAGTAGTGGCCTCGAACAATATTATAGCGTTTTGGAGACTGCATCACTTGCAGCGGATACACAATCGAGACCGGCAAACAAACGGTTATAGTTTTAGATTATTGTACATATATATAACGGAATATATTTACACTTAGAGCATAACACAATGGGGTAAATTGTATATTACATAATAAATATAATATAGTAAACCAATAAGGCTGTAAAGGATAATATTAGACAGGTATATATGATATATCTAGTAAACAAAATACATTATGTACACTTGTAATTAGTTATGGACGGAGTTATTTAACATAATCGCAAATTGCAGAACGTTTGTTAAAGCTATAGACTATAGTGCAAAGGAATCTCTATTTACCTACATAATATCAAAAATAAATTTAACAAAATGTATGTTATTCTTTATAGATTGAAATAAATAAAGGTTTATTTAAAACTGTTTTTATTATCATTCATCAATATACTTTAAAATTGCATTAAAAAAAAATTATTACATTCGTTTTAATTTTAAATAGCATGTTCTCGCATATTTTATGATTTTTATAACATATTTTTTCAATTTTTAGTCCATTTTAAATGTTTAGCATACTATTATTTTAATAGTTATTTAGAGCAGCACATTTTAATAACTATTATAGATTAAGTTTAATGTACCATATATTTAAAAATATAGTATGATATACTACCGTTTTAAATAATTATATTCAACATCAAACATGTGAGTATATAAAACTATGTTCGTCTTTATTTTTTTTTTATTTCTGATTTATATTAGATATATGTATTTTGATTGTTAAAATGAGTCTATGCTCATGCCGCAGTTTAAAAAAAATGTCCAGTTAGGGTTACATATATTATACTGGTTACAGAACCATAATATCATAGCAGATAAAACTCGAATGCCAACATGTAGAAATACGTTCGATATTACTCATTATACTTCTAAATGTATAACACATTTTATGGTCTTGGTTTGAATATATAACTAATTCGCTTTGGGCTTCGATAGACACGTATATTTGTTGAAGTATTGTACCTACGCGTATGCATAATATTTTAATGCGTATATTGACTGTCGATGAAAACAAATCAATTTATTTATGAATTATTTAGCCGTTAACTTTCCCGGGATTGCGCGACCTACTAATTATTTCAATGTTGACAGTTATTGATATTATATAATATGCTAAAAGTATCGTTACTGCACCAGTTACATACCATTATTTTATTATGCAATCATAAAAAACAATGAAAACCTAATAAACTTTAATACGTTTAATAACTTTATATTATACTAACTGTATAATATCCTGACTTCACCCGGGAAAATATAGCAAATATATAATATTGGTAGCAAATCTGAAATCTGCACCCGAGTACCTATATGCTTTGTGAACTATATATAGTTCGACCTGGTGGCAATATGGGCAATCCTATTGTGGTGGATTCGATATAGCCATTGGTATATTTTTGAGTGTGGTTCAAACTACTGTACAAACTTTTCTGCATTTCTGATATATCTATAAGAAATTAAGAACAATCTTTGAAAAGTCATCAAAATCGGTCCAATATTTTTTAAGCGTATAAGCTACAAAATACATTTATAAGT